CATTTGTCCACTTTCTGAGGAAGAGCAGCAAAACAGAGCAGGTAGAGCCTCTCCTCCTCCTTTCAGTAACCACGTGCCATTCTCACACAGGGGGCTAGGTTCATAGACATTAGGACTGGAAGGGACCTCGCGCGATCACTGGGTCCAAAGGTTGGAAATAGGAGGAGGCTTCTCTTGTCCTTGTTGTTGGTAGGAGGGAAGGGTGAAAGATCCTTTCTGCTTCTTTGGTTAAAACTTTAGAAGTTGCTACGTGAGCCTGAAAGAAAGGGCGAAAAGTTTTTCTACTCTAGGTTCCCTCCTGGCAGCAGAGGAGAGGCTGGGAGTATTGGAGAACTTATACAGGGACCAGGGCTGGTCAGGGTGGATGGACTAATGGCAAGGACTTCTTCAGCAACGGCCAAAATCTCATATCCATCTAGCCTTTCCAGAAAGTTATCATGTCTTAATTTAGAACTACTTTTTAGAATAGTATCCAGCAAGGATTTCATAGGGCAATATATTTTTTATTGAACCAGCTGTGTAGTTAGGCAGTCTCTCAAATGCAAGACACTCTTCTTTGGGTCTGAGGCATTAAAGCCAGAGCAGCATAGTAGTAAAGGACGTTCAGAAGTGGGAGGAGAGAAATTCCCAGAAGTAGCAGACACATGATTAGTGGAAGAAAGGAAGCTGATTACTGGGAGATAAAGGCCCATCAAAAGGGAGGAGGGCTTTCATATGTGAAAAGAATTCAGGAATTGGGTAGGTTTTATAATGTGCCATTAAACCAATATTAGTGTTAAGGTCATGGTTTGTAGCGTCCAGCCAGCTTATGAATTTTCCCAGGGTTGTCTTTGAAAGTTGGTAGGTAGACTTCCCTTGAGCATGAGGATAGCGAGGTCACAGGGAGTGGTTGTTCTGTGACAAATGTGCTCCTAATGGTGTTTTTGTGTCTGTCTTTCATTTTTCCTGCAAGAGTTCATTCTGGTGCGATATATATATTGATCCAATGCATCAACTGCTGCACGGACAACTATGTGGGTGAAATTAAATACACACACTATATATAGATAGATATAGATAGCCTTGTCTTAGATATAGATATATATCTGTGTGTGTGTGTTTAATTTCACATAGATATAATTTGTTTAATTTCATCCACATAGTTGCCCTTGCAACATCTGGTGCGTTGGATCGGGTATATCACTCTTTGGGAAAGTCATGGGTAGGAACCACCGATTCTGATGTTTTCATTATGAGGAGGTGTGGGTTGTAGTAGCAGTGCAGATGTTTTGAGGTTAACTGTTTCTTGCTAAGGCAAGGCTGTGTCCCACTTGGTGTCTACTGGGGAGTTTGCTTCTGAGCTTGGCAAGGTTAGAGGATAGGTTGAAAGCCAGGAGCAAAGGATCTGGACGTATTTTTCTCCAGGTCTGATCTTTGTGTGTTGACTGTAGTTGTTCAGTTCTTCTGATTAGTTCCAGTATGGGGTGGTAGGTGACTACCAGGGGGGTGTGGTCACAGGAAGATTTCTTTTTATATTATAGCAGGTTAATGTGGGGTATTTGGATAGCTCTTTCACATGTTAAGAAATAGATTGTACTAGAATGTCCTTGTTACATAAGGGAAGATTTTAGGCTTACACATGTTATCCTCTGAGCAGATGCAGTGGCATCTAAGGGCCTGACTGTAGATTACAGCTCTTTTTTGATGTGCTTGGCATGATTGCTGATCTTTTGGGCTTAAGTCTGGTGGTCTGTGAGTTGTTTTTTGGTGGGGAGGGTTTTGTACGTGGTGATTTGTAGTGTGCCATCTTGGATCTGGATTGTGGTATCTAGAAATTTGATGTCAGTTTAGGAGTATTCCAGAGAGAGCTGGATTTGAAGGGTGATAATATTAAACCTGTGGTAGATGTCAGTGAGTCCAGGTGTTCAGTTCAGGATTAGGAAAATATCATCTATGTAACACGGGTGTAGTGCTGGTTTGGTGCTGTTGCCTAGACATTTTTACTCCAGGTGTCTCATGACGATATATCAAGAGACTATGCCAGAGCCTTGGTTGCACTGAAAATATATACCGGCCGTGTTGAATTTCTCGTGCTTGAACATTCAGTCCATTTTTTTCAATCTTCCGTCCGGCAATAGTGCTACTGAACTCAATGGGACTGTTCAAAGGAAAGCTGTTTGTGGGGATGGATGCTTGAAGCATAAGTCTATTTGTGTCGATGTTTTCATAGGGGGAGGGGCAACAAATTTTGTCTCGTTTCCTTTTAGCGAAGGAAATTGACAGATTGGGTCAGATGGACCAATCCCAGTTCCCCATTGCTGTGCGTCTGGCGTTGTTCTGGTACCTTATGCCTGTAAAAGCAGGGCTTAAAGAGAGACGTATGCTTTTTATAAGATACTCTTGTTCTTAGGTGTAAATGTGCATGTGAAGTTCAAGGGATTGGAGAATCAAGTCCAAAATGCTTTTAGAAAATCAGTGCATTGACAACACCAAGCAGAGCAGTTTTAGCGCTTCCTCCTAGCCTGGCTACTGCAGGCTTTTTATCATTAAATACATGACCAGACTGGCATGCTTTTTGCCTTCACAGGAAAGACGATTGCACATGTACGTGGTGTATTGCCAAAACAAGCCACGATCAGAATACATAGTAGCTGAATACGATGCATATTTTGAGGTAAGCCTGACCATGTGTGCTAGATGCTGTGCTTTTTAAATGTGTGGTGTCTAATTTAATTGGAGGGTTAGCTGACAAACTATGGTTTAGGCTAAACCAAGCATTCATTTATTTTGACTCTATATCTTCTCTTGTGTCCAGGAATGGTTCTTAAATCTGTCTCAAATTCTTATTCCATTAATTTCTAGCTATTAGTTCAGCTACTGACTTTCAACAATGATATTTCCTTTTGCCAAACCTCTTTGGTCTGAAGTAGTCTTTCCAGCCTTTCGTCTGTGGGGAGGAAAGTTGAGGGTTTTGACAGGGCATGACTGATTGTTGTTCGGAAAGTATTATTCCGGCCGGCAACTACTGGCAATTGTTGAGTCTTAAATATTGATACTGAGAACCTGCTTTTGTGGAAGTCTTTGGGAACTGACTCGTCTATATATGCTATGTATCTATATATCTGGGGTGCATGTACACGTGTGTGTATATAAATAGTGTGTGTGCACAGATGCAAGAAGCTGGTTTCAACAAAGGGCAAGTGCTTCATTTTAATAAAGGGTACAGGTCATTATATCGTATCAGACATTTAAGGCTTTCTGTTTGACCCTGACCCCACTGAAGTCTGAAGGGCGGACTCCTTAGCTGTCACTCCAGCTGGAAGCAAGAGTCTCAGGCTTTATGCCAGCTTCCAACCAGGAGAAGATGCTTGCCAAAATGTGACACTGTCAGAGTCTTAAATCATAGACTTCTAAAATATTTTCGTGAAGGATGAAGAGAAGACTAAAGAGAGCAATCTTATACTGAAACGAATGTCACTTGACACACTCGATTGCATCCTGCCTTTCTTCATGGAATAGTTCTTCGCATGTCTTATTCTGTATTTTGTTGCAATTACAGTTTTTTAATGGCCGCAATTATCAATGTTTTTTCAGGAGCTTCAGCAAGAAATAAACCAGCGGTTAACTCTCAGTGACTTTTTGATCAAACCCATCCAGAGAATAACAAAATACCAGCTTCTACTCAAGGTAATAGAAATCGATACTCAAGATAAAGTTGGAGTAATCGGAGACTGGTCTCTTGAGGTTTCAGATGCTTTGATATATCGTGACAGGAAAAATAAGTCATGTAAGCAAGTGTATTCCTGGTCTGTATGATTGCATTGGAATTGGAATAATCACAATTTCAATATGTCTTTTTTTTTTCTTTTTTTAATTGAAAAATATTGGGGGAATTAAACAACTTCTACAGAAAAATCTCATTTTGAGTTCATCTTTCTCAAAAGGAAAACTGAAATCATGTACTATTTCTGTAATTTCTTAATTAAGCATTTTGGGAAGGTGCCCAGCTCATTACTGAGTTTTGTTGGAGGAGAAAATAACCCTAGCAAAAACTGAGGAAAACAGTTGTATGGTAGAGAATAGGATTTTCCCCCTCCCTAGTTTAATTTTTTCAAACTTCCTATTGAATAAGTTTCGAATGAGAGTGCTTTTTCCATGAACAACCCAGAGGGAAACTTCCCAGTGCTCGAGTCAGCTCTAACTGAAACAGACCTACAGCTGCTGCTAAAACAAAGTAGCAATGGTGGGGTAGGAGGTGGAAGTAGTCTCCAGGTGTTGTGTACTGAACTTTGAAATATTGATGTCCTGTGTCCCACAACGAGAAACTAAAGTCTAAATTTTCCAGTGTATGTAGTTTCGGATGTCATCTTGGAAACCTGTCTTAGTTTTCCTTCCCTCCGCCCGCTCCGAGATTAGGGCCCCCATAGGTGACTTGGCCACAACTTCAACTTCAAAGCACTCCTGAAAATCCAGTCTTGGCAAGGTATCAAGTTGAATGCCCCAAATTAGACACTTCTAGAACTTGGGCCGTAATCACTAACACTACTGGGATTCTTGGTTTTTTTCCTCATTTGAACTAAAGTCTCAGACTGTCATCTGCCTGCATTTTTGCTGATTGCCATGAAAAAGTAGTAGTTCCAAAGATGATTGTGTTAGTCGACACTAGAGGTGGGCAAAATGCGGCCCGCGGGCCAGATGTGGCCCGCTAGGCCATTCTATCCAGCATGCGGAGCCTATAAAAAATTTAGAAAATTAATATTTATCTGCACCTGGCTGCCTGGCCTGCGGCCCTCGATGACTTGCCAAAACTCAGTGAGCGGCCCTCTGCTCGAAATAATTGCCCACCCCTGGTCTACACAATCTCCAGATGGTATCTACACGTGTGTCATCTTGTGGCTTAAAATAAGAGACTAAGGCAGCTTTCCCATGTACTAGTAACAGTTCAGTCCATTTCAATATGCAGATTTCAACCAGTCAGTTGACCTTGGGTACTATTTTCCCCATCTATAGAAAGGGTATAACAGTAATGTTAAATGAGTTAATCAAAGCTTGCTTATGTGATAGGATAAATAAGTTTCTCTGGTATCCTCAGAAATGAAGTGCTATCAAAGTACTTTTTTTCACTTTCAGTGGAGTTACATTCTGCTGTTCACTTTTTGTGGAGTAATTGCTTTCCTAAAACTTGCTAATGCAAACTGCCTTCATTGTCTTTAGGACTTCCTGAGATACAGTGAAAAAGCTGGACTGGAATGTTCTGAGACAGAGGTACATAGGCAATATTGATATATTAATTCATCTGTATATTGCAGCATAATGCAGTATGAGTTTGAATAGAGGAAATGCCCACTGATGTTTGGCAATGATCAAAGAAGTGGGCGGGGGGGGGAAAGAAGTGGGACATACAAGTTAAACCAGAAGCAAAACTAAACTCTGCTGGATGTAGCATGGGATGTCATGGTAGAGTGGTTAAAATCATGCTATGGCTTCAGAGATGTAAGTTTTCACCTTCACATCAGGCTTGTGCAATAGGCTGCCTCCAATTGTAACTGGGTGCCTGGTCACTCAGGCTGGGATGTTGAAGATGACTGGATGTTATTATGGTCCTTGTGTACCATTGGCTACAGCACTGGCTGGTGTGGGCAAAGTATGCCTTATGGGCTGCTGGGCTTTAGAGGATTTTCAAATGGGGCATAGTAGAGGCACCCCAGAATTTAACTGGCATGGGTGAAAGTCCTAGGTCCAAACGTATGCTTCATTGGGTCCTTGTTTCAGGGCAGCATTGACTCGAATGTTTGCCGTTAAGGTTCCCTCTGGCTTTCTCCTGACTGTTCAAAGTTCTTCTTTAACAGAAAGCAGTTGAATTAATGTGCCTTGTACCAAAACGTTGCAATGATATGATGAACCTGGGCCGTCTTCAGGGCTTCGAGGTATGTATCTCAATTATGCTTGTTCGGTGTTTTAGTGCTCAAGGAGCTATGGGTCATCAAAAACAACACGGGAAAATCCCCAAACTTTCTCTAGTTTTGTTAGCCAGTACCCCACCCCACATGGCACATGTTGGTCCTTTTGTGAGATCCCAAGGTTGAAAAGGAGTTGTATCCCTCTAGTCCCAAAACAGCATGACAGGTGGTATATTGCTTCTCCACCTGTGGCCTGTTACTGCTCCCCATGCTTAAATGGCAGGTTTGTTTCTACTGCCAGATTCCTGTGGTGGGTAGTGTGGTAACCTATGACACCTGAGTAAGGTACCCTGGGAAGAGAGCCCGTGAACATCTGTATTCAGAGTTCTGCAAGTACAAAGGGAACTCCTGGGTGATTTGCACTACAGTGGTCGAATGGGCATGAATTGGCTGCCCTAGTAAGATGCCTAATCTACAAAACAAGGACCTGCAGGTCTTAAACAATAGAACACAAACCATAATTCCAACAAAAGTCAGATGAGATGGCTGATGAGCTGTACCCACTGGTTAACATGATGATATCATTTCCATTCTTTCCTGCCCATGGCAGGGGGTCAGACTTGATGATCTGCTCAGTTCCCTTCCAACCCGACCAACTATGAAACTATAATCATCCTGTCGTTGTTTTGTGGTACTCCCTGCATTGGTCAATCTGTACTTTAGGTTGAGGACCTCTTGGATCAGGAGCTGGGGGATTGTTTTTCCGGGGTTTTGCATCGGATGCAGATGGGTGGTTAGGACTCCTAAGTGCTATGGTAATACAAATGGGAATGAAATCTGCAACTACTGTATTGTTCTGATTTTATAAATTGACCCCACTTACTGAGGCTTAATTTTAGGAAGAAGAGCTTTTTTTTCCTGAATGCAAGTGCTTTCATTTTGATCTTTTGAAGTGCTTTTGCCTTCCCCAAATCCCACAGGAGATAAAAATGCACTGAAATGTCTAGCTTAGAATATTTATTATATGTATAAAATGCTGCAAGGCCAAAAGTCTGGATGGGAGGGGTCTCATTAGAGTTCAGCTGCATGTAGAAATCCAGTGCATTATTTATGGGTTTTTCTTGGTGGAGGTTAGGTAGACTTGTAGTCAGTCCAGTACAGGTGTAGGAAGAGTTGGAGGCCGTGGGAATGCAGAATGCTGTTAAGCAGTCCTGAGTTCCTGACGTCTCCTTAAGCTGGGGAGGCGTCCCAGTAGTCAGTGTTGCTTGGAAGCCCAAAATACATAAGTCCCATTAGATCCATCCATGGGCTCACGCGGCGTTGTCCTTGCCTGCTGAGGTTAGCACTTTCTTTGTTTCTCAGGGCAAGCTGACGGCTCAAGGAAAGCTGCTGCAGCAGGATACCTTCTACGTCACCGAGCAGGACTCTGGCATGCAGTGTCGGCCAAAAGAGCGGAGGGTCTTCCTCTTTGAGCAAATAGTCATCTTCAGCGAGCTTCTTAGGAAGGGCTCTCTGACACCAGGCTACATGTTCAAGAAAAGCATAAAGGTAAGGAGCGAGAGAAATCCCTACGGTCTGATTGCTTCTTGACCAGGAGTCGTCTCCACGCTCATCTCCACCCTAACTAGATTAACTGAAATAAAACTAAATTGCACACGTTGTGAATAAAATCGAAATAAATGATGTAAATCAGGGTTTCATGAGATCAAATGGATTGATTTGAATCAGTGATTTTTAAATCACTAATGTTAATCGTGATTTAAATTGATCCACCCAAGCTAGTATAGGTGTGGCAATAGACGTTTTAGTTGCTGGAAACAACTCCTGCTTTGTGTACTGTAGAGAGGTTCAGGGGAATAAATCTTTTCCAGGGGCAATACAGCTAGTTTTTGGCTCAGGGACATGAGATGCTTTTCCAGTTAAACAACATTTTAGAGTGATGCAGATGGTGGTGTCCTTCCCCTCTATCTTTTTGTTTTGCTTTTTGAAGAAAAAAAAAAAGCTGGGTTATCTCTGTTTTGTTATCTCTGTTTCCCCTCAGTTGATTCTTATAGTCAGGGACTGAAAATGCCATGATCTTGCTTTGAATTTGTTCATGGTGTTGCATGTTTAGTATTCATGGACAGACATATTTGGAATATCTTGGCTACATGCTGACCCATCTGTCCTTTCCGTCTGATTCATTTTTGTGAGTTTGCAAGGTAAAACACCAGTCTTCCAAGCTGACAGATAATGAACAAGCATGTAAAGTCCCTCCAAATTACATGCATCCAGGGAATTGTGAACCTCTCCGGAAGCAGCTCGGGGAAAGGATATGTTTTGCAAATCTACACAAGTCCTGCAAAGTCAAAGCCGAGCACAATTATTTGTGGGATCATAACCTAATAAAGACTTGGGTAGTAGAGCCCTCGAGATAGAAAAGATTTGATTGGTCCTCCCTGGTGAATTTGTCCCTCTGTATATCCTTGTGTGTTGCCCAGTCACTTTTAAGTGACTCTGATCAAGCTGTCTGTAAGCTTACCAAGCTTACAGGTTTGGAGCAAATCTGTACAGAAATTGTTCCTTATTTGTATGTACTGGTGAGTCTTATGCATTGTAACAGAATTCACTTGCTTTGTTGCAGATGAACTACCTAGTCCTCGAAGAAAACGTGGAAAATGATCCCTGCAAGTTTGCTGTCATGAACCGGGAAACATCCGAGCGAGTGATTCTACAGGCTGCCAATCCTGAAATCCAGCAAGCTTGGGTACAGGACATCAATCAGGTCCTGGAAACGCAAAGAGACTTTCTAAATGGTACATGAACTCTTCTTTATCTGAGTTAACATGGATCTAGGACATTCAAATGTTGCTGTCTTCTATTGAAAACTATTCCTCAGCTTCCTCTGATCAGAACTGATCTTCAGGAGAATGCTAGAGTTTAGTCTGTCCATCAGTAAGTAGGTCTTGACATGGCTCCAGGCTGTATCCCTTAGTATCACCTGTCAGGGTCCTGATATGTAGACTTCCTAGTCTTCACATAGGTGGAAGCTACCTACAACATCATGCCATGCAGAGATCTCTCCTGATTCAGAGTTGCATGGTGCAGGGGGCAGAGGAAACTTGGGTTGTCCTTTGGGCTGAAGTGGATGCATAGGAGTGGGAGTTTGCACATCATCCCACCTCTACCACCTTTTATAGGCCCATGGAGGCTACCCCCAAATGTTGAGATGGCTCTGTGTTTTATTGAAGTTTCCATGAAATTTGTGCCTGCCTCCGGAGTAATTGTGACTAGTGGAGTCTCGGGTTCGGGTCCTGGCAGCCCTCAGATCCCCTATTAAAGTGGATAGCTGGGTTTCTGCAGGTGGTCCAGTAGATCAGCCAGGGCTATGGATTGGTCTTGGGTGTTGTTGGAGATCCAGAACCTTCACTCTGACCCGTCTCAGTGGTATCTGTGGCAGTCCTCACAAACTTCCTCAGCTCTTCAATGTCATGTTTTCCAGTGCTTGCCTTCCACTTAGACCGAGACATTTTAAATATAGAAACTCAAGGGCTATATAAGAAATCACACCCCTGTTTATTTTGGTACAGAGAGTCCCTGCACTGAAGAACTTCCCGTTAAAGTAAGGAAGGAATTGAAAGTGAGGGCAGCTTACCAAGCTTCAGTAATAACATTAACATGCCACTGTGCTAATATTACGTTCTGCAAAAAACTGCCTGGAAGTCAAGGGAGCGACTCCAAATATGGGTCCTTTTTTTTTAAATTTCAGAAGAACATTTGGTTTAAAAGTTGGCCTAAGTCAAGAAAGGAGATGTTTCTTAACTCCTTTTTAAAAGCATGACAGAGCACATCAAATCGGGTGTTGTTTTGAACAAAACATTTCATTTTGTTTCAGGTCAAAATTTTTCCAGGCTTTTGTTTTGACCTGGACCAAAATATTCTTCTTAGTTTTGTGCTTTGGTCCACTTGCTGATGCGTCTCTGTGAACTGTGGGTCTCTTTTCTCATTTTTGGGAGAAATGCTGCTTCTGTTGTGGTTTTTTGACCAGATTAATCTGATGCCATGACACTTTGCCCAGCAATGGGAAAGTACATGGCAAGTCGCTCAGCTTTCCATTTTAGCTGGCCTACTTGACAGACTATGAATTTTCTGGAAAGGATCTATCTGGAGCTGTTGAAGTTACATGACACACACACAACATCCATCACCGAGGATTGCTTTATATATGCGATTTCAAATAAGAGTTTGCTTGTTTCTTTTGTGAAGGCGTAATTTTTTACCATGTTCTTGGATCAGATGATCAGTTCTTCAGTGCAAGAGTAGTGGGAGTCTTGTATTAAATCCATGTGCGGTGCTATGTAAAGTGATCTCAAGATGCCTAATTGGAGCAAGTGGAGGAGCATGTTTGAAGTGGTTAATATCCTGTGTACTGTATGTTAGGGTACATGGCATTCCAGGAAGTGGTACCTCTAATTCTCTTCCTCTCTTGCAGCACTGCAGTCTCCTATCGAGTATCAACGCAAAGAAAATAGCTCAGCAGTAATGAGGCCCCAAACTAGTAGGGTGCCTCAGCCCAACAGCAGACCCTATTCTTCTGTTGCAGTCAGCTCTGAGAAGCCTTTGAAGGCTGCAAGCCGTAACCCATCTCTCCCACCCTTGAAGATATCTACCTCCAATGGCAGTGCAGGGTATGAACACCAGCAGCCTGGGGACAAATATGAACAAAGCAAGGTACTGAACTTACCCGATGACAATTGTTACAGCCCAACTGTTTGTACCCATGACAATCCAAGAAGCTTAACAATAATTAGAAGCTAACCAGGTCAGTCGAAATCAGCCTACTGAACAAGTGCAGGTGACGCACAGTAAATTGGCCCAGTTCAAAGATAAGCCTACTTATTAGTTCCTTGAGTCTGGCCTTCTGCTTAGCAGTACCTAGTGTCAATAGTAGCACCCAGACAGAGCTTGACAATACAACTTAACTGCTTAGAAAACAAAGTTGTAAATGAACTTAGTACTCATGAAAGAAGCCACATCCACTGATTTATATCAGTTTGCTCTATATGGCATCATAGAAAAGTAGGCCTAGATGGCATCTCAGGAGGTCATCTAGTCCAAGCCTCTGCTTGAAGGCAGGATCATCCTAGACAAGTGTCTAGCCTGCTCTTAAAAGCTTCCATGGATGGAGATGCCACAACGTCTCTAGATAGCCTGTTCCAATGCCTGACCACCGTCGGAGTGAGATAGGTGCGTCTTGTACCCAACCTAAATTTGCCTTGCTGCCATACAAGGTGGTTAACTCTTTGTCTGGCTCCCGGCAGACAGAAAGTAGTCTGTCACCATCCTGTGTATCACAGCCCTTCAGATAGCTGAAGACTATTATCGAATCCCCCTTCAGTACAGCTGGTGTGCGAACTTCCACGTCCCTCCTTAAGCAGGGTCCTGGCATACTGTCCTGAAGAGGTCATCCCTAAGAAGGGTTTGAAGTAGTTTAGTGTTTGCCCTTTCTGAGGCTGGTATCAAGTTGTGTCAGTTGTGGAGAAAGACATCAACACCCCAAGAAACTCTTAAGTGCAAACTGACCTGAGACTGTTCACACAGGCCACCACTGATCATGAAAATACATTATCAGATGGTGAAAGCTTGTGGGCCTTGCCAAAGCAGCATTTGAACAAGTCAAACCGCTGTACAATCTGTACCGGCTGTTGTGAAGAGGCTGAGTGTTCACTTCACCGGCAAACATCAGCCTTCACTGCTCTTTTTGCCTGCTCCAATCCATTGCAACAGCGGTTTTATCCCAGGGGTGTTCTTGTTTGCATCTTAATGCAGAGAAACCAGTATGGTTTATAACACGAAGCAGGACTCTGTCTTAAATTGTCTTTGTATTTGGATTTCTATATGCCTTCAAATTCTTAAATACTTTATTTTTGCTATTATAAACATACAGATTAAGTATTAAAAAAATGGAAATGGCTGCGACTGAAAGAGAAGAATTCCAGCCTACTCCTGCTAAACCTGCCTTCAAATATTTCCATTGTGTCCACTTCACAGAATGACCTGGGAGGGTGCAATGGGACCTCTTCCATGGTGGTAATCAAAGATTACTATGCACTGAAGGAGGACGAGATCTGCGTGAATCAGGGTGAGGTGGTTCAGATCCTCGCCATCAACCAGCAGAATATGTTCCTGGTGTACCAGCCTGCAAATGATCACTCCCCAGCCGCTGAGGGATGGATTCCAGGAAATATCTTGGCTCCCCTCACTAAATCCACTACAGATAATACCGACGGAAGCATCAAGTAAGTGCCAGTTGGCTTCCCTGGGAGCAGTATGTGGATTTTTTGAGGAAAAAAAACACAAAACAAAAAAAACCACACACACACAAAAAACAAAACAAAACACCCCCAATGGTAGGGAGTTCCTGCTGGTTTTTATCTACAGTGCCATTGGAACAAGCTGAAATGCTCAATCCACAGCGTGGGGCATCCATGTTGGATAGTCTGGGTTTTGGTTATTTTTGTTCATTGGTTTTTGTTTATACTTTGTACAGAATTAAACCATAGACAGTTTAAAGGCATGTTTTCCGTTGATCCATCTTAAACCAACATGGACCTGTTTTGGACTGGACTTATTTATGTTGTATTAAGTTACTAATCTATATATTGGTTATAACAGCATCTAGCAAAAAAAATATAGGCCTTGTTGGACTGAGGCCTGCTTCTCAAGGAGGAGAAATTTTGTTGTCTATGGCAATTTCTTTGTACAGCTTGTATTTTTTCTTTTCTTTTATTTTGATTTTTTTTTCTGTTCACGGTAACTTTTGTAAAATATTTTTTTTTTGTTTGCAAGACCCTTCCCCCCTTCCAAATACATTCCTGTATAAAGTATTTTGCACTATTTAAAGAAGCTCATATTGATGAAGTCAGGTTGTGCAATATAATGGATAGTCGCAATGTTCATCATTGTACCTGTAATGTAACTAATAATTTTAAATGTACTATTTTAAATATGTAAAATAAATTTTCACCATGAGCATGTTTTAATGAGGTAAAAAGGACTAGTTTGACCCTCTTTTGGTTTTTTTTGTTATAACATTTTGTTGCTTATTTAACAAATGTGTGGATTATTTTTTTTTTCTTTTCTGATTTTTAGAAATTTGTCAGTCTGAAATGACTAATGCAAGAAAGTGGTTTTTTGGTATTAAATACAGAAGGTACAACCCCCTTTTTAGTAATACCTGTTCATTTCTTTAACATCTAAAATGACTAGATCATAATGCATGATGGATGCTATGAACTGTTATCTCACATGAGTGCCTCAAGGTGTAGATTCACATGGAAAAGCCTTAATTGCCAATTAAAAAAAATCATATGATCTCTTCTAAAGTTTCAATTGTGCCAGATAACATTGGGTTTACTTGGAGATAATAATTGGTTCAAAACTGAGAGTTCAGTCTAGATGTATTCAATGCACAGCGTTAATTTAGCATGTCTCGCACCTAGGGTCTTGTGGGCACTCTTCTCCAGCACTGGTGTGGTGTGCCAGTATCTTTATCCCAGTGCCAGATCTCCAGTAACTACTGTCAGATTGAATTCCCTGTACAGCCCATTCTGCAGTGATCTCTGCAAGGAAAATTGGATAAAACTGGATAATACATGTTTCACTTTTTTTTTTCTTCTTCTCCCCTGTGTGAGATTTAAATGTTCAGACATTCTCTTCAGATTACAAAAAACACAGCTACTTGAATGGACTTGCTCTTTTAATATGCATCTGGTTTAAAAAGAGAAAAAAATGACTACTGTGGGTGTTGGCTGTGGCCCTTCCCATGCTGCCATACTATGTGTCTTAAAAGAGAGGACTCATCTGTATGTGTACTTTCCTGCAGCGGTTGCAGTGTGATGTTCACACCCGTCTATGTATGCGGTCTTGCTGGTTCTTGGCCAAAATTGGAGAGAGTCTAGAACTCATCAACCCTGCCCCTTGACTGCATTATCTGTATCTGGAAAGGAAACCTAAGCTGAACTCTCGTGACGGTTCTGATATGTTGAATAACTTGCTCCTGCCCTGCATATGCAATCTGGATCTTCCCCCAAAGTGCCCGAATGTTATACCAGAGCTTATTGTACCTGGCAGGCGTAAGAGGTTGGCATAATATCCTAGCTTTCTGGTGCTCATCTGAACAGAACCTCAATGCCTCTTTGCAAACATTAGTGCATGCGACTTCATTAGTGTTGCTCTAGCATGGGAAACTCTATTGCTGAGTATGAGAACAGTTGCACTTTGTCCACAAAACCAGTTTAGTCTTAGGCTGGAGTTGCCAGTAGCCTTGTGTATCGGGTGTAATCTGATGTCAAAATATAACAAAGCAAGAACCTTTTAGAATGGGAACTGAGTGTTCACGGAGGGATGTCTGCTCTTTCTGGAGTTGAAAAGTCCTACCTTGCTAACATATCACATTTTATTGGTACTGCAGGTTATCGTTGGGATTACATGCACCTTTCTTTGTAAAATGTGTCAAGGTACTGTAGATGCAACATATGCCAAACATTGGGCTTTCACCATGCAAATCAAATTTGCATGTTTTAAACGTGGTGCAGATGTAGTGTAATGCTTTTCACCTGGATCCCAGCTCATCATGCTGCTGCTCTCCGAGAGCTTTCTGCTTTAGACAAACATTTTGAGGCGGAGGAAAAAGCACTGTTCAAGCTAAATTAAAACCATATGTAATGCAGTTTTGTTTTTCTTAATTTGATGTCTGCTCCAAGATGTGATTTCTACTGCCTCCACAGCATTGCTCTAATAAAAGGTGACATGACTTTTCCAAGGATAAAGTCCTCAGTAATGGCGGTGGCTACATAATGACAGTTGCCTATTCCAGTCTCTGTTTAGTCAAAAAAAAAAAAA